GGTGCCAAAGTCACTCACTGAGGTGCGTTCTTTTCATCGCCTAGCGACCTTTTATCATCGATATATCAAAAATTTCCGCACTCTAATAGCACCAGTGAATGATTGTATGAGGGCTGAAAAGTTTTCATGGAATCCCGCTGCTAAAAAGAGCTTCACTCTAATTAAACAAAAGATGATGCAAGCACTAGTAATTGCCTTATCAGATTTTTCTAAGGTGTTTGAGATTGAAACTGATGCATCAAATGTTGGCATAGGGGCAGTTCTAAGTCAAGAGGGACGACCATTGGCCTTCTTTAGTGAGAAATTGAATGATGCACGTAAGAAGTATTCGGTTTATGACCTCGAGTTTTATGCAATGGTGCAAGCCTTACACTACTGGAGGCACTACCTGATTCATAGAGAGTTTGTTCTATACTCAGATCATGAAGCACTCCGGTATTTGAGTTCCCAGAAAAAGTTGAATGCGCGACATGCTAACTTCAATAATATACCTTCTTATTAAAGCACAAGGCTGGAACCCAAAATAAGGCAGCTGATGCTTTAAGTAGAAGGGTAGTGTTGCTTAGAACTTTGTCTATGGAAGTGTTGATGGGCGAGACCCTATGGGTGAGTATCTCGTGCATGATGGTTGTTTATTTAAAGGTGTGCGGTTATGTATACCGGATTGCTCCCTAAGGGAGAAGATAATCATGGAGCTTCATGGTGGGGGCTTGGGTGGACACTTTGGGAATGACAAAACTATGGCTATAGTTGGAGAAAAATATTTTTGGCCATGTATGCGACGAGATGTTGATCGATTTGTGATCTGATGTCGAACTTGCCAAGTATCTAAAGGTCACACACAAAATACAGGTCTTTATACTCCTCTTCCTATTCTAGATACCCCATGGGTTGATATTTCTTTAGATTTTATACTTGGACTTCCACGTACCACATGAGGTATGGACTCTATTTTTGTTGTTGCTGATTGATTTTCCAAAATGACACATTTTATTCCTTGTAGAAGAATTATGGATGCTACACATATCGCGAATCTCTTTTTCAAAAATATTGTAAGGCTACACGGTGTTCATAAGTCTATTACATTTGATCGGGATACAAAATTTTTAAGTCATTTTTGGTGCACTTTATAGAAGCGCATGGGAACCAAACTTCAATTTTCTAGTGCCTATCATCCTCAAACAGATGGGCAAACCGAAGTAGTGAACAAGAGCCTTGGTAACCTCTTGAGGAGTATTGTTGGTGATAACATATCCCAGTGAGATCTCGCTTTGCCTCAGGCTAAGTTTGCTTACAACAGTTCAATAAATCGATCTACAGGAAAATCACCATTTGAGATTGTTAATGGGCGGACGCCTAATCATGTGTTGGACCTAGTGCCATTACCCATGCCAGGCAAGATAAGTGATGATGCCAATGCTTTTGTTGAGCATATTCGAGATTTGCAAGCTCAAATCAAGAAGAAAATTGAGGAGAGCAATGCAAAGTATCAAAAAGCCTCAAATGAACATAGAAGTGAGAAGATTTTCAAAGAGGGTGACTTAGTAATGGTGTATTTGCGAAAGGAGAGGTTCCGTTGGGAACCTATAATAAACTCAAGTCCAAGAAAGTAGGTCCTTGCCTCATCTTGAAGCAATATGGGAACAATGCATATAAGGTAGAATTACCAAAGGCACTGGATATCTCCCCGATATTTAATGTTGCTGACTTATTTGATTTTCATGGAGACCCTCTAAAAGTTGTAGAAGATGTAGTTGATATGATGAAGAAATTACCAAGGAAGAAAGACGATGAAATTGAGCAAGTTTTGAAGACTGAAAGCTTTCAAACTCGAAAGGGTTCCTATCGCCAATTTCTAATCAAATGGAAGGGCAGGCCATACTCTGATAGCACGTGGATTTCTGAGCCAGAGTTCAAAAGAGTGGATTCAGACTAATATAGCATATATACTGAAGCCAACTCGCCAGAGTCCAGTTCCTTTCAACTGGGGGGGAATGATGTAGCCATGCCCCTTCATGACTGGACCAAAGAAGGGTCGCAAAACCCAAGAGGGAAAGAAAGGGCAATGATGTAATAAGGGAAAATTATTAGGGTTATTTATTAGGATTATTTTAATTATTCTTTTGTTTAGGGAGTGCGCAGGGATAATTAGCAGGGCGACTTTAGAGTTTATATTGTGTTTATCTTGTATCGATTGGGTTAGTTTGAGGGATATAATTAAGATAAGGGTAAATTTAGAAGAGAGTTTATCTTTATCAACAATAACCAACTTGGGAGGCCTTTTTTGGGTAAAACATGAGAGGGAAAATGTGGCTATCAAGAAGCTCGTGGATATGAGAGAGAGAAAATAGGGATAGATGTAGAGAGAAGCTTTTTATGAGTTATCTTATTTTAGTCTATTTAAAAGGACATCTCCTTTCATTGTAAATCAATCTATGAATTGAATAAAAATTGGTCTTTTGAAAGAGATTGTTTTGGGGGTGGATTCCCTTGCAGACCTTTGAGAGAGGGTATTTTTCTCTTAACCTTCCTTCTTTTTATTGTCAATTAATTATTCTCTCCTTGCATCAAAATGCTAACTATTCACTTTTTCATAAGTCCAAAGTACAAATTGCATCATCTTTAACAATTATTTTTTTAAAATAATTAGCTTCAACAAATTATTTCAGGTGAATCACAAGCTTCAACAATTTGTTACACTAATACACTAATACCTTCACACATTTATGAATAACTGGATTTTCAGTGAATACATGTTGAAGGCTCATTCTCACTCTTGATTGACAATAAGTCATTATTCAGGAATTACATTTATC